CTGCTCATCAGAGCCAAATGTTCCGTGTCTTTGTTTCAGTGAGTGCTCTGCTCTCAGCCTTTCTTCATGCAGCATTGTGGGTGCTCCATTGTTGGCCGACCCAGGAACACAACGATCTGCACTTTGGAGAGATTATTTAATTTGGGGCAATTACTTGTAGGTGTTCTTCAAAGTGAAGATTTTGCCAGGCTGTGATTGAATTTTGAAACGGCAGCTTCCCAATCAGTTAAGGAGCCACTTCTTCATGCACACAAGACCGATCTCTGTGTGTTGTCACTGGAGGAAGGTGGTGACCCTTTTTGCCAGGGCCCACTGAGTCTTTATGGCCTCACATCCTGCAAGCAGTCAGCTGCGTCTGGAAAGTGTTTTGGATACGGGGCAAATAATAAGATTTGGTTTTGGTAGAAGTCACATATTTGTTAATCTTCCTTACCCTCTGCACTCAAAATTTACTTTAAATGGAAGGAATCACTTTAATCCTTTAGGAATTAGAGGGCCCATTAAATAACCCCAACTAAGGGATTTATTCATTCATTCACTTCTTCACTGGGCTATCTTCTCTAACTTGGCAGTTAAGAGAACGACTTCTAGAACTGCACTGCTTTGTTTAAAATCCACTTCGTAGCTCTGTGACCTTGGGAAATTTACTTTGACTACGTCTTAGTGTGGATGGAAATTAAAATAGAATTTAGGGTCGTGGGATTAAATAAGGGCCTGTTTTCACTGTGATTAATTCAGCTCTTGGCACATAGAAAATTTTCAGTGGACGTTGGCTCTTATTTATTATCTTGCACTTGGAGTTTGACCTTGTACCATAAATAATAAGGAGCCGTAACAATATATTTACTTGTTATTTTGATCCTTAATAGTTCTCCAAATGTTTTACTCTTTGAGTCCTATTAGGAACGCTTGTTTACCCCTCAGTACCCAACAAATTGCTGCTGATTACATATTCCTGAAAAGGGGAGGCATCTTGAGATGGATGACATCTTTTTCTTTTTAAAATATATTTCATCAGGGCGCCTGGGTGGCTCAGTTTGGTAAGCAACTGCCTTTGGCTCAGATCATGATCCCGAAGCTCCGGGGTCGAGTCCCACATCAGGCTCCCAGCTCCATGGGGAGTCTGCTTCTCCCTTCTCGTGCTCGCTCTCTCTCTCAAATAAATAAATAAAACCTTTAAATAGATACATAGATAGATATAGATATATACATATGCAAACAGTTGGCACAGTTGATTAAGTGTCTGATCCTTGGTCTCAGCTCAGGTGATGGGCTCGAGCCCTGCTCAAGCTCCACACATGTGGGGGTTTGCTTAAAACTCTCTCCTTCCTGCTCTGTGCCTACCGCCTCCCCCCCACCTCACTTGCTCTCTCTCGCAAATAAATCAATCTTTAAAAAAATTTCAGTATTTCAATTCAGTTAGTCACCAGTTGGATCCTGTAAGAGTGGATGGACAATAAAGTAACAATAGAGGATTTAGTTCATGGTAGCTTGAAAAAGTGAAGGGTTGTTCCCTAATAATTCACTTCATTGTTGGCTAAGAGTCTGAGGACCAAAGCTGGCATTGACATTGTCATCTTAAAATCTGCCTGTGTGTGGTGCTGCTTTTAAACTGACCGAATGTTGGCCTGTGGAAGGTTTCCATAATCCAGTGATACCTCTAAACATATTCCTGAATGAGAATAAGCCTTATTTAAAAGAAAATATCCAACTAAATTTCCCTTCGTTAGTCTCCTCTTAAGAAATCAGGATACATTTTCTTTTTCTTTTTTTTTTTTTTTTAAGATTTTATTTATTCATTTGAGAGACAGACAGACAGCACAGGCAGGGGAGTGGCAGAGGCAAAGGGAGAAGCAGATTCTCCACCGAGCAGAGAGCCCGACACCGTGCTCAATCCCAGGACCTGGAGACCAGGACCCAAGCCAAAGGCAGACGCCCAACCATCGGAGCCACCAAGGCGCCCCCAGGATACATATTTCTAGTGAAATAAAGAATTTGGTAGAATAGCACGTGTTTCCTGATTTCCAACAACGTAGTGGTCTGAAGTATCTTCTTTGTGTGGTCTGACCACACTTTCCTATGTGAAGTCTTGTCTTTATTTTTATGGATAATGTCCAGAGCTTCGATAAGCAGATGAGGTCATACCTTATTACTCTGAAATGGTTTAAAGAGGTTACATGTATAAATTATTTCTGGTAACTGAAAGGTACCTCTTTAGCTTCCCAAACTAAAAATCATCTTTTTATTTAAAACACATGCTGTGCGGGACGCCTGGGTGGCTCAGTTGGTTAAGCAGCTGCCTTCGGCTCAGGTCATGATCCCAGCGTCCTGGGATCGAGTCCCACATCGGGCTCCTTGCTCTGCAGGGAGCCTGCTTCTCCCTCTGCCTCTGCCTGCCATTCTGTCTGCCTGTGCTCGCTCTCTCTCTCTCTCTCATAAATAAATAAAATCTTAAAAAAAAAAAAAAAAAACACATGCTGTGCTTCCTTCTTAAGCACGGTATTTTGAACATTATTGCTGCTGGATTGTTTTTATGAACCAATGTAAACTGTGGAAGGATTATTGGCTCCACTAAATGGGCCCAGACAACTATATGTTTTGTAGTTTTTAGAAAAGTGTTATCTTCTATTTCTGTCAGATATAATAGTTTAGTTCTGACAGCTATCTCTATAGGCTGTTTGTTTCTAATCCCATCTACCAGACACTTTGTCTTTTACTTTGCTACTTTTGATATCTTTATAAACTATAAAACCATATCACCAAAGTAATTTGACTTGCATATGAAATTAAAATTTGAATAAATTTTTGTGGTGTTAGAGCATTTTGATTATTCACAGGTCTTTTTTTCTTAATTTCTAAGTTCTTGGTGTTTTCCATAGGTTCAATAATTGTTTGACTTTGAGATAATTGAAGAAAATGGTTTCTTACTATGATTTGATGATGACTCTATAAACTGGTCTAGTTGGGTCCACAGGGAAAGGAATAAATGTCATAAACTTTGGGATAGCTAAGTATAGTTTAATCATTTGGTCCTCAAATAAGCACTTACTATGTATATTATACCAGTACTGAATGGTGAAAATTCCCTTAAACTAGACATTAAAGGTTTGGGGAATCCTAGCCGTCTACTAAATGCACATTTTTGACCTTAGGCACATTCTGAAAAATGGGAATCACAATAGATGTTGTTAGAGAATTAGTGAGATTTCACTATTCCTCTGAAAGCAAAGAGGTTGAGAATATAGCACAGCTGGTTGAACATGGAAGGAATTTGGGAGGGAGAAGTGGGGTGGCAGACGGATTTAGGAGAAAGAACCAGAGCATAGTAAGGATTAGCGAACTGAAGACTAGAGGGGCTTACATTTTTGATCAGTGACTAGAAAAACAAGATCCAGAGATATTGTGGACTTAGTCCTAATGGCAGGTTGATAAGCGTTCGGGTTATAACAATTCACCACTGCCAGGCAGCTATGACGTGGGGTGGGGTATGTCGGGCAGGCCTGCAGGCTTAGACTGAAGGTTTGGGCAGCAGTGGGCAGCAGCTAGTAGATGAGGAAGCCAAATATGGGGGGCACCGGGCTGGCTCAGTCAGTGGAACTTGCCACTCTTGATCTCAGGGTTATAGGCTCAAGCCCCACATTGGGTGTAGAGATTACTTAAAATCTTAAAAAGAAAAAAAAATTTTTCCTTAATATTAACCCAAGTTTTTTGATCTACAATAGTCTTCCTTTTTCTAGTTGTTAAATTGTGATCAAAACTAGTCCAGACTCATTGCATGGTGTGGTAATGATCTGTGTTGATTTGGTTTTGTCTCTTGGCCTTGTTATACTTCCTGCCGCTTTTGGTTTCTTAAAGAATTAACTGAATAAACCCCAAACTTCCAATGAAATATTTTGTATTTCTCATTCATCCCTTCTTCCATTAAATCACATTTTAGGTAGGTGACTGTGAAAGATCAGCAGATCATAACAAGAATTCACTCTGAGTACCTAGTCTTAATCCTCACTTCTGATTTTGGAGACAGGAAAAAATGGTTTGTTACAAGTTCTCTGCGTAATACACCTGGCACAAGCTCCGTATCCAAAAGGCAGACAGACTGTATTTGTGACTGAGATGAAGAGGGCACATGTAGAGACTGTGGTGTCAACTCATACTTGAAAGATCTTTCTTCTCATGTATGATGATTATCATGGCAAGGAAAGAGCATATTTCATGGCAACTTTGTTTCATTGTGTCATCTTGAGCATTTAAGATTTCCTATATTTTGAATTTAACATCTCAACAGCTCTTCAGTGTCCCTGGGCTGAACTCAGAGCTCAAAATTCAGTTCCAGGATATCTTCTTAACAAGCTGTTTAATTTGTGTATTCCTAAAGAGATACTTGGTTTTCCAAGAGAAAAAAAAGTCAAAGAAAGTCTAACACATAGCCCCTAATTACACCTCTAGTTGTACAAATACTACATGAAAGCAAACACTAAAATAATAAGAACAGTAATGGAAATCCAGTGTGATGCTTACAACTCCCCGCACACAATCTGTCCCAGTTATCAGCAACACTGTTTCATTTCGTTTTGTTTTGTCTATTGCTGGCCATTTAACCACGATGTACATACTGGGGCTTGGGGATTTCGATAAATAATGTTAGACTTCTGCATCACTGCCACCTCGATCAAAAAATTTAACTTTCACAAACTGTAGACCCATGAAGATAATCCAGAAATTGAAGGGAAAATAATTTATTGAATAATTTATTGAAGGATTGAGGGAAAGTAATTTATTGTAGAAACAACAATTTTATGTGAACATTAAGTAGCACCAAAAATTTGCAGTAAGCCTCTCAGAGAAGGAAAGTACCTTTCAAAAAAAAAAAAAATCTCATGGTTTATTATTGTATGTGAAGATGAAAGCAAGTAGGGATTTTAGTAAAGATGGATGGGAAAATACTGACTAAAATAATGATAGATGTAGCAATATTAATTTGGACTCTTTTTCTGTTTCAGGGTTTGAATATAATCTTTAATGTAGCCTTGGCTCTCCTAAAGGTAAGTCTGGTTTTTTTTTGTTTTTTTTTTTTTGTTTTTTTGTTTTTTTGGTAAGTCTGTTTTGATCTTGAAATTGGGCAAAATTCAAATTAGCCTTTGACTGGGTCTAGATTCTTGAATCCCAAAAAAAGACTTCCCTGAGGAGCTCTGATTCTCCTCCCATCCTTTGTTGTTTGTTGTTTATTTAGAGTTTGTTTCTTTACTTTTCTTATAATCTATTTAATTTTGCTATCCCAGCACTCCTTTCAGTAACACGTAAGGTTGTTTTCATTCATACGAGTTGGATGATGTAAGAAAAAAAGTTAAAAGCTGTTTTCTGTCAGAACGATGCCAGCCTTTTTCTTAAAATACTTCTTACCACAATAACATCCCTGGAGGTACCTAAACATAGAATTGAATTATTAGAAAGCTTTTATAGTATACCGACTAAAAAAGAAACTGCTACATTTCAATTTGCACTTCAACAGCTAGAGATTTACAAGACACTTTAGAATTCAATTATAATTACCTTGTTGAATTTTATATCAACGTATCAATGGAGCTTTAACAGTGTGGTAACAGCAAGACATTTGCTGCAAAATTGGTGAAAGTAATCCAGTCAGTTTTTGTCTTTCAGTCAGAGGTGACATTGTTACTTAAGGCGATAATTGCCTTATTTATTTAAAACAAAATGCAGGCCCACCTCTTCCCAGTAAAACATAGTTGTTAAAATTGCAGACTCTGGACCCAGACAGCTTTGTTTCTAATTTCAGCTCTGGTTTGTGACCTTCTTGGGTAAATTACTCTAAAGGTTCATACTCTGAGTTTTGAGGTAATAATAGAAACTAATTTATGGGATTGTTTAAGAATTCAGTACGATGATACATAAAAAATAGTTAACATAGTGTTTAGAAAATTATTGCCTAATAAATGTTAGCTATCATTATTGTGACTACTCTTGTATTCACAAGGTAACTCACTTTCTAGATTCCCCATCATTCTTCCAAATTTCCCAAAAGATAATGACTGGAGGTCTTTAGAGGGCTGCTTGGTATTTTAGGAGAGCCTCTGTACTTAAATACCTTGATCCAGAACCAAGACATGATGTATATGGGTCCAATGTACATCAAGAAGTGGGGTGTACTCCTCACCTCTTACTCTGTTAAACATTTGTTTTTTGTGAAGTTCATAAAGTGTACTTTTAATTGTTCATTAAATCGTTGGGAGTTTAGATGTGAACAATTCTTATACCAAAGTTATTTTGGAAGTTAGGAAGATATTTTTAAAAATTTCAGTAAAATAATAAAAACATATGTGCATGTATGTTTTAGTGAAGTCCTGGATCTCTACCTCTAATTTGTTGTTGTTGTTGTTGTTGGGACGAATTAAAACTTTCTAAGATGCTTTTCGGTATAGGGCTGGATTGAGACTTTTAGAATGCCTAAGCAGTGACAGTATTATGTAATTCAGGCTAAAAACAATACTTTGTCATAAAGTAAGTGTAAGAAGGAAGTCCAACAAAGTGATGATTTTTCCTATCATGTCTAATTTGTTTCTAAGCCTCAGATTTTATCCTTCCCAAAATGCAACTTCCTTATTTTTTTGGTGACCCTTCTTTACTGGTGCTCTCAGCACACACTTAGTCTGTCTTTTGGGTTAACCCCAGATTTCCTGTCTGGATATTGGAATTATAGTCAGCGTAATACTGTATCCATCTGAGAAATTAGCTTCCTGATTGACAGATTTTTTTTGGTGTGATTGCATTTTTACTCATGTTAACCCAGATATGGCCTGTGCAGAGGACATTCTCTGGCCACTGGGCAGAAAGGCTTCTGAATCCTCTTTGGAAATCCATGGGTGTTCATCTAGTATCTTGCAGAATTTGCCTAGAGAAGATTAAAAGGAGAGCTTTGTCTACTACTATTGGGAGATTTATATCTCTTCCTTGTCTGAATCCTGGAGCTGACCCCACTAGAGACACTATATATAGGCTGAATTGAAGTGTACCAAATTGATCTGATTGCCTCCACCGGGAAAAAGAATATCCCAAAATATGTGAAAGTGATTAGCATTTAGCTTCTAATCTAACAAGCCACATAGAATAATGTATATTTGTTTTACATAAAAATAACAAACTTAGGGGTAGTTCAAAGAGCTTATGAACGCAGCATAAGTAATCCATTAGCATACATTAAATGTCCAGATGTTACTTGTAAGAGAACTGTGGATGTGTTAACCAGAGAAAACTACTTCATTCTCTCCTGCAGTTTATAACTGAAGGAACCAAAGCCTCAGGTTGCCTAAAGTCTTTTGTCTTAGTAATGACAAAGCTGGATTTATTATGTCTTTAAACAGCATAAATATAAGTGAAGGTCTCTGTTGCTCAGTATGATTTAAAGACACCTGCTTTCTGAATGGGAGCCGCTTTCTTTTGGGTTAGAAATAGTCTGCCAAGGAGCTAGAAAGCCATTGAGCTAAAGAAATGGTTCATTATAGTAGGGGGTATCATCAGATCATCTAGGATATTGGCAGTGTCCATTCATTTCTCCCAATCTAATTCATTTGCTATATGAAATAGTCTATAGTCACTATGTGTAGTATATTATAATAGATTAGAGATGATCACTCAATTATTCTTAGCCACTTCGTGTTGCCAGAGAAGTTTTGATCAGAATAGGTTCTTTGCATTCAAACAATTGTCAAAAGTTAGTGACAGGGGTGGGGGCACCTGGGTGGCTTAGTCAGGTGTCTGTCTTTAGCTCCAGGTCATGATCTCAGGGTCCTAGAATCAAGCCCCTCTTCGGGCTTCCCACTCAGTGGTGAATCTGTGTGCCTCTCTCCTTCTGCCCCTCCTCCTGCTTGAGCTGTCTCCATCACTCTCTCAAGTAAATAAATAAAATCTTAAAAAAAAAAGTATGACAGGGGTTGCCTGGCTGGCCCAGTTGGTGGAGGATGTAACTCTTGATCTTGGGGTTGTGATTTCAAGCCCCACATTGGGTATAGAGATTACCTAAAAAAAAAAAAAAAAAAGTAAATGATGGAATGTTTTTCTCTTCACCTCCTCCCAGCTCATTTTGTGTCTTATTACAGAGATAAAGAAAACCCACTCATAATTCCATCCCTAGAGGTAACTGTAATAAAAATTCATTATAAAATCTTCCTCCTGTGCATTGGTCTATATGAATATATAAGCATTCATTAGCTCTGTACATTTCTGTGTACATATATATTTTTAATATGGGCTTGAGGATTGTAATTAAGAAGGTGGGAGATAGGAGATATACAGGAATGGTATATGAAGATGAACATATTATTTTCTTTCAAAAAATGCTGATGAACAAGACTCTTTTTCATTTAATAATATGTCATGACTATCTTCTGTGTCGCTACAGACATGTCGTGATTAAAAGCATGGATGCTGGAGCCAGACCACTTGAGTTCAAATCCCATCTCTCACAGTTTAGCTGCAATCTTAGATAAATTACCATTTCCCTATCTTTAAAATGGGGATATTAGTAACATCTGTCTCATAGGATTGTTAGGGTTTAATGAGTTAATATATGATTGGTGCCTGGAAATTTGTAAGTGTGAAAATGAATGCACCCAGGAATGGTTATGACACATAGAGCTGCCTTAGCTTTTTTAATCACTGGTTAGTATTTTATTGTGTGTACCATAATTTTACTTAGCCAATTTTATATTTAATTTTTATGGACATTTGTTTCCATACTTTTCCTATTAAACAAACATCCTGAAATTTCCATCTTTGCATACTTATTTAATGATGTCTTTTGGATAAACTTTGAGGATGTCATTGCTGGGTCAGACTGCAGTCACATTTGAATTTTTGATAGACATTGCAAAGTTGCTTTCTACTAGCAATATGAGAGTGCATTTTCTCCATACTCTTAAAAAAACATAAATTCTAAATATGTGCTTTTATGGACAGTGAAAGCAAGTTGTAAAACCATGCAACTTAAGAAGTAAATTATGATACGAATTTGTGTCATTGTAGTAAACAAAATACTTCAGACAGTTCTGAAGAGTCCCATGTTCTTTCATTTGGGAATATCTAGGTTTTTTGTTGTTGTTGTTGTTGTTGTTGTTGTTTAGAGAAACTAGTTGATCATGGCTAAATTTTAGAAGAATGATCCCTAGCTTGGATGAGCTTTTATATTACATAAAAGTTCTTGAAGCATCTCTTTGATGGTTTTGGCTTTTCAGCCTCACCACTATGGTTTTTTCCCTTACCATTTTATTGAAGTTTTTGTTTGTTTGCTTGGTTGGTTGGTTTCTTGTGTGTTTTTTTGGTTGGTTGGTTGGTTGGTTGGTTGGTTGGTTTTTTGTGTTTTGTTTTATTTTTTGAGGGGGCAGGGAAGAACAGAGGAAGAGAGAGAAAATCTTAATCAGGCTCCATGCCCAGTGCACAGCCAGCATGAGGCTCAGTCTCATGACCCTGAGATCATGACCTGAGCCAAAATCAAGAGTTAGACACTTAACCAGCTGAGCCACCCAGGCACCCCATATTGAAGCTTTCTCCATGGAGTCACTAACAAAATCAGGGGACATGTTTCCATTTTTATCTTTCTTGATTTCTCAGCAGTTATTCAAAGAGCATAAAGACATAACACTTCCCCTTTTCTGAAACATTCTCCCATGGCTTCTGTCTTTTTTTTTTTTTTTTTTTAGATTTTATTTATTTATTTGACAGACAGAGATCACAAGTAGGCAGAGAGGCAGACAGAGAGAGAGGAGGAAGCAGGCTCCCCGCTGAGCAGAGAGCCAGATGCGGGACTCGGTCCCAGGACCCTGAGATCACGACCCGAGCCGAAGGCAGAGGCTTAACCTACTGAGCCACCCAGGCGCCCCTCTGTCTTATTTTTTATCTCCCTCTCATCTTCTCATTTTACTTTTGCTTGCTTTGTTTTTTTCCCCTAGTCATTAACTTGGAGTTTCTCAGAGCTCTAGCCTCTAGGAACTCATTTGATGCTTCTTCCTTGCTGATCTTGTTCATTCCCCTG